GCTCAATGCTTTGTAAAAGCCGTGCGGGGGTTGCACCCACCAGGATGAGGTCCCTCGGACCGTAAATATCTAAACTCCGTATGGGTCCTCTAAAATATGGACCTGGGTCAGAGATCTATCATTTGGTATGTCAGTCCTCCAGAATCTGTGTCTTCGGACTTATTGCAGATTACACAAATAAGCCATGTAAAGAGAAATGTTGCAGAATTTGCCTTTCAAGAAGTTTTCTCCCGCTCATCTTCTGACACAGGTCAAACCCATTTGACACAGGATTTATACAGGGGATCATCTGCCAATCAACGAACATCCAAGATGTTTATCGATTGCTAAACAGGAAGAGATAGTTCAACTTCTAAAGCCTCGCCCATCTTCTTGGTCAGAAAGAAAATTGGTTCAACTAGGCTTTCCATTGACTATCACCCGTTGAACGAGGTTACAAAGAAAGACAGCTATTCTCTTCCTCCAATCGACAACATTCTAAACACACTTTTAGAATGTTGTCGATTGGATGTTGTGGTTTTCGATGCATGATTTAAAGAGTGGGAATTGTCAGGTAGAGATACACCCTGATGACCGAGAACAAACAGCTTTGTAGTACCGGACAAGGAGTTTGGCAGTTCAAAATGGTGCCATTTGGATTATGTAATGCACCGGCAACGTTCGAACACCTCATGGAAGCTGTGCTCAGAGGTTTTTCTTACAAAGCCTGTCTGATATACCTCAATGGCATTATCATTGTCGAAAAAATTTTGAAGAACATCTTGAAAATCTTAGGAAGGTACTTGAGAAACTGAAAGAAGCCAATCTGCTGAGTCTCGGCTAAATGTAAATTGTTCAGACAGGAAGTGACTTATTTTGGACATGTCATCTCGGCCAAAGGAGTGTGCATGAATCCAGAAAAAGTATCAGCAGTTGAAGACTGGAATTACCCCCAAAATATTACACTGTTTCCTTTGCTTTTAAATTAGTACAACATTGAAATTTGTAATCTTGCTTATTGAAGAGTAATTTAAAGTCCTTTTGCTTTTAAATTGCAGTGGCCCACAATCTTTTTTAGAAGGAGGGCATATATCAGAAATGTGGGAATTTGATGGGCACAGTAGTAAGCCAGATAAGATAATGAATATGAAATAAAAATAAATGGACAATTGCATTAAAACAGTGTTGATTTTAATGCTCTAACAATTTGCTTCTGTTACCGCAAAAATGTTGCTACAGCACATTGTTTATATATGTTTTCAAAAGTAAAAACAACTGTATGTTCTAACAACTTGTTTTACTACTGTAAAAATGTTGCTAGTATGTTGTTGTTAGCCAACCAAGAAAGCTGCAAGCTGTTGTTGTTTAACTAAAGTAAGCTGCTGACAAACAATAGCTGAAATTAATTTTCTTAATACCCATCACTGCAAAAGTAATCTTGTCTGCATCTTTTAATTCGAGGAGAAAAATGCATACTCTGTTTACAACTCAAAATATCAATTCATTAAATGACAACTTAATGCACGAGGTTATGAACATAAAGCATAACACGCCCTGGTCGGACAGAGCATACAAGGATGATGGGAATTGAAATTAATTCATTGTATGTGGAATCAGATGTTTCTAGCAGTCAAAAATTAATTTATCTAGTTATGTAGTGTTACCTAAATATCACCAAGATACAGCTTTTATCAATAGTTTAACTGTACAGTTCTTAAAATGGTGAAAATAAAATAAGAACTTTTACTAACATTATTCATTACAGATGCTTGTTGTGCAAATATCTAAAATTTAGATATTAGATAATATAAATGCTTTTGGATTCTTGCAGACATGAAGGGCAAAGAAAGTTAAAAAATGTTCAAGAATGTCACCAAACTGTAAAAGTTATTCTGATAAGAAAGTTGATGAGCATGGGCACGTGTGTTCCACAACTTTTAGGTTTGCAGCTGCAATGGAGACAAACAGGCATGGTAACCAGGGAGGTGTTCCAAATCAAGTACTTAGCAAAGCCTGTAGTATGTAGAGTATGTGTCAGCGTTGCTTCTTCATTTTATTTCACTTCAAACAGGATACCCTGTTTCCTGGTTTCTGCTAAAATCTCAATTACACCAGGGCCCAAAGGGAGTTAGAAAATAATCTTAGTTATTTCATCCATTATTCCTAAACACAAATTGGAAATTTCGTGAAAATTTGTCACGGTGTGGGACACAAATATTTCAATTTAACACTGCAGGGATAACATGGGGTGACATTTGAGATACAATATTTCCACAATCATTACTTAATTCACCAAAATTCTTTTTGGATCTTCATTAGTTTCTTCCTTGCTCTTGATCTATGACTGGCCTGAACACCTCCCAGTGAAAGTTTAACCTTATTAAACTCATCAAATTTTTTACTGGTGAAAGTTGCAAATTTAATTTTGTATTACTACCTAAAGGAGTTAGAACAACATCTCAATCCTAGTTTGTTTTATAATCTCTGTATCTAAAATTTCTTGTGAATCTATTTTGCGTTTCAGAAATATGCAGTGATAGTTTCCTGGCATATGATAATTAACAATCTTTTTTTTATTAATTTAATGGTACATTGACTTCTACTTGCATCAGCTTCTACAAGGATGCAAGTTAGGTATGCATATATAAGGAAAGGTTTCTTGAAAGAGAAAGTTTTGGCAATGATACTGACTACTGTGATATTTTCTTATTTAGCTCTGAGAATTACTTTAGACAGGCATTAGCCTCTAGCTAATGGAGTTTTCTTAGACAATTAGATTTTGAGACAAAAATTGACAGGCTTTTGCTTTATGAATTTTAAATATTAAAGTTTTAATTGGCATTTTATGTTAACTTAAATCCTGCAAGGCAAGTTTAAATTTGGTAAAGAGTTGTTTAATCTTTCATCTGTGTTGGAGTTATTTTAACAGATCGGATGATAGGCTGTCTGGCAGTTTCACTAGAAACCAAATTTAGTTAATGAGTGGCCGCCTACATATTTATACTCTCAGGAATAACCATGGAGAAATTTGACATGCAATATTTCCATAGCTGTTACTTGTGCCACCAAAGTTCTTTTTTTAATATTTATTTATTCTTTACTCACTACTTATTTAGGACTGTTTCAAACCTTGACTGAAATTATACTCTTTCAGGCTGGACACTTGGATTTATAAAATTCAAACATCATTATAGCTTAAAAGAAGTTAGAACAACTTTGAGACCATTGTTTGTTTGCCTACTATGCCTTAATATGTAAAATTTCGCATGAATTTTCTGTGGTGTTGCTGAGAAACAGTACGTCAAAGTATGCCAACGCTTTCTGCTGTAGGAATAACATAGGGTGACATTTGATGTGTAATATTTTCACAACCCCTGGTTGTGCGAACCAAAATTCTTTTTTGGTGCTTATGAATTCCTCACCAACTATTTATTTTTGACAATCACAAGGAATCTTAGGTCTTGTATCCCTCTCTCCCTTCTTCAGAAGTTTTCAGACAAATGAATTTTGTGAAACATTTAGAGGATGGCTGTATGATCACAAAAGTTTGTTACTTTAGAATAGGTCATTGAAGCCTATTTTAAAGTAACAAGCTACAGTATAAGCCTAATCACTGCTGCTAGGCAACCAGCCATTGTTATGCTATGTGGAAACCAACATCAGGATTTTATTGAAATGACAGACTCCCAATCTCAATAAAAAATATTCAGCCTTTTACTTGTTCCAGTTTTCAGTTCTTTAATATTTTTTGATTGTGTGTTCTTTCACTTTCTTTTCTTGATTTGAAAAATATATTAAATAATTTTAATGCATTTTGTTTTATTAAATTTCTTCCCTACTAAACAATAATTGTGTATTGATATTATACACAATTAATTATCAGTTTATTAATATGTTTGTAATCAATGAAGTCCTGATCACACTGAACTCTTTTAACCCTCTGAGCGTTATGACTGGCTTTATCCAGTCATCAGAAGTTTTGCTACTTGGCATATATTAGCTTATAACTTAAGATATTTTGCTTTCTTACTTTCTTTAATAATGTAAATATCATCTTAATGAATGTATATTTATGAAAATAAAGACTAAAATAAGTAATTTACAAACTCAATTAATAAATGCTGTTTAAATACTGGTTTTCATGACGGATCTAAAATCCTACGCCATTCAGCGGGTTAAAATTTCATTGACCCTCCCCAGAGGATCAATACCAATCCCGTTGGTTAACACCTGGTCTAAATGTTCTAATTGTTCAATTTAGACCAACCTGGTATCAGAAATGACCAATAACAGTGAAGCAAGCATGAGCTGATACATGGTCAAATATTTACTGGATCAGGTACGCATTCGTACATAAACAACTTTACCTTCCCTGATTGGCTACAAGCTCTAATCCTGTTCCATAGGTGTAAATGAAGCTTATGACTTTTACGCCTCATGATTATGACTGTGATAGTTATGCTATGGTCTCAATGCTTCCCTAAGAGCCACATTTGTGTAAAGAGACAACAGGCTTAATGCTTTATAATTTAGGATTTAAACCGTCAGCCAAAATGATGGCAGCTGCCATATTTACTGTGGATATGAACTCAGCACTAAGATTTAAATTTTGTAACAACCAAAACAGACTGAAGACAAGTAAAAAATATTATGTATGAGAAGTTTTAAAATTTTCCCAATTACAAGTATTTTAAATAAAGAAAGCTACATGGGTTTATTATAAATTATGAGCATAATCATTTTACATTTGAGATAGTTTCTTATAATTTTTAACAGGAATGCAATGAAAAGTACATAACAATTTTTTACAATAGAGGTAATACTGAATGATTATTTCAGCTTATCATATAGTCTCGTAGCAGATGAAAAGTGATACAACTACTTTTCATTTATACCCCCCCTTTTTAATATGATTTGATCTTCATATGGTTTTTCCAAATTCAAAGCCAACAAAGGTTTAAGGGTTTAAATGTTCCTCTTTTATTCTGAAGTATATTAATAACTCAAAAAATGATATTACATAATATATAGATATTACATTTATTTCCCCATAATAACTATTTTACAGTCCCATCAGTTTAAATATAGACTTAATGTACAACTGAATACTGGACAAGGTAAAAGTAATTTACAAAAAAAAAAAAAAAAAAAAAAAAAAAAATCCTTGTTTAGACAGTGAATACCATTTTTTTTTTCCATTCCATTCATTGGACCATATTTCAAAATGATAATTCAATTTTTATTTATCCTAGTTCTGCTGAAACAGTCAAAAATAAAAAAGTCACAGTTCAATGAATTGTTTTACTGATTGAAAATTTTGTTCTGTAATACAATTGCTCTAATAATTTCGTTGATTAGTTCTTCGATCTGAAAAAAATAATGAAATTATTAGCAATTAAAGAATGAAACATTAATCCAAAATTAAATCAGTTAAAGACCAAAATACTGAAAATTAATGAACCTTGCCACTTTTTTCCCTCTTTCTTTTTTAAAACCAGTATACTTACTCCAATTCCTATCCTGCTGACCATAATTACTTTTCTGGAAAGTGGAATCCCTTGTTCCTGATTGCTGACCTGAAAATAATGTTTAATTCAGGATCCAAAATAAAATATGCTTAATAGAATTTTCAAATACGATGGTGCCCTTTTTGAATATTGCATTAATGAGCATATAACAACTGCAACAATTGTTTCAAAGATCACAGCATAAAAATTTTTCATACAATCAAACTTACATATAGAACAGATGCAGTGAACAGATACTCACTTTTTAAAATTGCTATTGCAAGATGTAAGATTATTACGTAGCGTATTCGGAAACTAAGTACCATTTCATTCTAGCGCCGTCGCAGCGCTGTGGTAGGCATCCCGTGCATGCGCACTAGTCTTTCTTGTTCACTGACTTTCAATTGTCGCCATTTTGGTTGCTCTATGTTGCGTTTTCAGTTTGCTGTGCACATTCAAAATGTTTAAGACAATTAGTTCTCCCGCTGACTGTGAGATTCGTGCCGTGATTAAATTTTTGAACGCGAGGAATGTTAAACCGGCCGAAATTTATCGTCAAGTGATAGAAGTTTACGGTGAATACGCGATAAGTGATGGAATGGTGAGAAAGTGGGTAAGAATGTTTAATGCAGGTCGAACAAATGTCCACGCCGAGGCTCGGAGTGGCTGGCCTTCTGTTGTCACCGAGGATTTGGTAAGGAAAGTTGATGAAGCAATTCATGAGAACAGACGCTTCACAATGACAACTCTTTCAGAGGCATTTCCACAAATTTCATGTACTGTTTTGTTCGAAATTGTGTCTGATCGCTTGAATTATCACTTGATGCTGTGGAGTCGTGGTTATCGAAAGTGGCGGAAAGTTTCTTTGACGACGGTATATAAAAACTGGTCACATGCTATAACAAGTGTTTGATCATTGGCAGAAACTATGTTGAAAAATAGTTTAAGACATGCATTTTCATGTAAAAATAAAATTGGATTTAATAAAAATATTAAATAAAATTTTTTTTTTTTTTCAAAACGGTACTTAGTTTCCGAATACGCCTCGTATTATTTACCCTAAAAATATTTTCCTAAAATCAAACCTGAAATATTTCTTTTTCTGACCAAAAAAAAAAAAAAAAAAAAGTCTGTTATGTTCCCAGTTAGTATACTTTTAAGCTTCCTGTTACTTATACTTAATGTTAGCACAGTAACTAATTAATAATGTTGGTGTAATTTTTATTTCTCAAACATACAAAGAAATACAGTTTTGTTATATTTTTTAAAAGATGGTGTTTATAATTTTTGAAAGTCAGGTTATTAGAAATTGCTTATTGCTTTATCAATTTAGAAACAAGAAATAACATAAATTCACACCTGACTTCTTTCTTTTTTTAAAGCTCCTCAGAATTTGTATTTTGTTCGAATTTAAAGGAATGAAATATAAGTACACTTTGAATACTATGTTTACACTTTGGTGATTTTTTTTACTTCCTTGTATGAAGTAAAAAGGAAGTATTGTAATCGCAAACAGTTTCATGCAGCATATTTCAACGAAAATATCCATTTTGACCACTATCGAATGCAATTTATCGATGATTTTGCGTGATATCTGTGCGTAAGGACAGAGTAAAAGACTCATTTCCTTCAAAAAAATTATAAAACTGCTTTAAAATTAATTCTGAAGAGAATTTTTTGTGCCGTCTGTACGACCGTACGTATCTCGCATAACTCAAAAACAAGTAGCTTCAGAACGTTGAGATTTTGTATATAGGACTGCTATGACATGTAGATGTGCACCTCGTATTTTGGTTGCAATCGGCCGCACCAAACATATGTAAATATATTTATATATATATCCACTCTGTTACCCGTCTCAGTGATCTCAGTTTCTTTACTCGTATATGTTTGTAAATTGTATATATTTTGCTTTCAAAATGATTGAATTATGTTGTTTTTATCTTCTGGTTAAGGTTTTTATGCATTTAGTAAATCTGTATGCAATATTTTTAGAATTATCAACAATTTTAAAGTTGTTTAAGTGCCGCTAAGCCTTTTTTTTTATGGCGGCCATTGATTGTTTACATTTGAAACAGCAGACTAGTGGATTTGTTGCCAATCTAGAGAAACTTAGCTTCATAACAACAAAGATAACGCCTTCATTTATTATTGCCAATTAAATCATGCTTAATCCTTTCTGGAATTTTTTCGAGGGAATAAATGTTTAAGATTTACTTTGTAATTTTTAATATAGATATTTTGAGTTTTTATGTATTTTTGCCTTCTCACGAAGTGAAAACTGAATTAATTGAATGAGAAATACTCAATCATCTGTGAAAAACTGTTTTTTTGTTTGTTTGTTCGTTTTGTTTGCTTAATTTTCTTTATGCATCATTCTAGCTTTATTATAGTATTTGAATAGAACATGTGGCAATAATTAGATAATTCTATTCTTTAAATGATATAAATTTTGTGCATTATAAGTTATAATATGAATGAAATATAATACCGTTAAGTGAATCTAGCGCCAGAGTTTCGCTATGGTAAACAAACACTAGAGTCAATTTTAAAGAATGCATTTATTCTATTGTGGTTTATGCGGTGTCGGCGAAGTAGATTTAATTCAATCCAATAAGTTTAAATGAAATGCAAGAAAAAATACGTATAATTTAATATTCCGTACAAGGAAGTCATGTAATGTACACATCAGATTTTTTTAAAAATATAAATGAAAACATGGATATGACACTGATAGTTTTTTCATAAAAAATTCAAACAAATTTACTTAGCAAAACCTTTTTTTCTTTAATTTTTATCTTTTGTATGCACAACCTATTCCTGTGCAAAATGCTTGTTTTTAAAAGATTAACACCTTTGAAATTATGTACTTCATAAGAAATTGAAAAATTTTATGAAAAGACAAAACTAAAAACAAAACATAGTGAAAATGGAAATGACAGTGATAAATAAATGTTAATTAATTCACTGGACTGCATTATCATTTTCTTACAAATGGCACAATTCTTGATACAGCTATTAGAATGTATATCAATTGCAAGATTGGCTGTTATTTGACTTTTTTGAGATAAACGTTTAATAGGAAAGGGGGATAATGTTTTCATAATACAGAAGAAGTCCAGAAATCCGCAAAGCTTGGAAGGCTCCTCTAATTTTAAATCAGCACGATTCTGCTTCCCCTTTTCTCTCAGGAGAGGTCCTGAAATTGGTACCCCATCACTCCAACCACTACCAGAATCACTCGTACAATACAGCATCAAGGTTTGCCGATTTCGCCTCATTCAAAGATTTCCGGTTTCAGATTCCAGTGTTAGAATCATTCTTGCTGTAAAATTTCAACAACTTTTCTTTATTTTCTCATATATCATACACAGTCCCTGTCGCAATTCCATACGATTCTGCTATAAACTGAGGAGTAGCACCTGCCTCTATCTTTTGCAGAATTTCTACTTTTTGCATTACCGTCAATGCAACGTGTTTACGTTTCTTATCTGTCAATGTATTAAAAAGTGCTGAAATTTAAAATATTCATAATTTATCCACAAAATATCCAGATTAAAAAAAAAAAAAGGCAGCACTAAGCAATCTCGTGAATAACAAAGCTCAGAAAATACAAGAACGTGAATCGTGAACTTTAAAGAAGAGTTGAGTGAATCATCTGCTTTTTTACCTTGATGCAGATTGGAGAGGAACATTTTTTTTATCATGATGTCAATAATTTGATATTTCCGTTATGACTCATTATTATTCGGTAAGTATTTTTTCCTCGATATTTCGTACTCCATGTTGCGGTTTCCGGAACCTATAAACTGAATATTTATATTTTGAGAGGCAACGTGGATTTCAGGTCGGTGGATTTTCGATATTTGACTGTATTACATAATTAAATTAAAAAATAAGTAAAATTCAATTTACTACAAACATAAACTAGCTTAATGGTTTGTTCTATGATTTTTCTATTCTGATATCATTCTTGTTTTTATTTCTTAGTAGTTATAAAATATGCAAAATAACTAAGCTAGTGATGAAATCTCCAATAACACCGCAGCTTTTCTAATCTCTTCCGAAAATCAATATGTTTAATCTTATTACTATTAATTTGTTTCTCGTAGACAGAATATTTGTGTACTTCTTTTAAATAAATAACTCATTATTATCATCATGTTTAGTGGCATATATCTGTTACTCAAAAAAAAATGTCTATCTTAGAAACAAATGATACATTAAAAAAAAAAAAAAAAAAAATATGATTATCCACAAAAAAGAGAAACATACCAATATTTCGACTGAAATAAGATCCCTGCTTCAAGTCCATAAGTCTTTCATTTTGTTCAACTAGAGACGATACTTTATCAGCCAGCTGAAGAGATAAAGCCTGAATCCTCGAAGGTTCTGTACGATGCAAAATAACAGATTGGGTTGGCTCATCTAATGATGCCTAAAATATAAAAATATTAATTAAAAATGTAAAAATGCTAAATATGGATGATTTTAATAAATAAATATTAATTATTTTAAGAAAATATCTTACATAAATTATCTATTGTGAAATGTTTTCATAAGCCAAGCATATTAAAATGGCATAAAAGTATTAACCACTATTAAACAAAATCTTTCTTATACATTTGTCTCTATGCCTGCAAAGAGCTCTTATACATCTGTGATAAAATTAGTCATTTTGCATTCAAAGTAAAACAGAAAGTAAAATAGTGCTTGATAAGGCACACATACACATGCAATATGCATATTATATGCCAAACATATTATCATTATCAATATGAGCTAAGATTTTGCTTTGCATATAAAATTGCTATTATACGAGGGCCATCCAGGAAGTAGATTACGTTTCCGTCTGTGTCCGCTAGGGGCGGGGCTAGCGCGGCCATCTTGGGGTCAGAGCGTTGCGCAGCTCAGTCTGCATCTAGACGTGCTAGTGAGAGGTTCGTGCTCCGTTCGGATACTGTGACGGTTTGAAATGTCTGCGTTAATTGAAAATCCCGTGAGCTGCGAGGTGCGCTCAGCAATAAGGTTTCTGACTGCAAAAAACTGTAAACCGATAGAAATCTATCGGCAGCTTCGTGAAGTGTATGGGGACAACATTATCACTGAAGGTGGAGTGCGTCAGTGGGTCATAAGATTTCAAAATGGCCATACCAATGTTCACGACGAAGATCGAAGTGGGAGACCCAGCATAGTGACCGCCGAACTTCTCGAAAAAGTCGATGCTAAAGTCCGTGAAAATCGAAATTTCACAATAACGAAACTTTCTTTGAGTTTTCCACAAATTTCGCGAAGTTTGTTGCACGAAATCATCAGCGTAAAGCTTGGTTACCACAAGTTTTGTGCAAGATGGAAGGCAAGAAGAGGTAACGAAGTGGTTGAAGGCGCAGGCGGCCGAAATTTTCGACGAAGGAATTTCCAAGCTCGTACATCGCTACGATAAATGCCTTAATTTGTATGGTGACTATGTAGAAAAGTAGTATTTGAGTGTGGCTTTCATCTGTATATAATAAAATTTGTTTCCTATACTTTGTTTATTTTTTTATTCCAAAACGTAATCTACTTTCTGGATAGCCCTCGTAATATTTGTGTGAAGTAATTACTTTAATGTCATTTTATCTATTTCAGAAGATATTGATTTTATACCAGATATCAGTTATATGGAACATTTGAAAAGTTTTGCTCATTCAAATACACCCCCCCCAAATTACTCTACAGTATAATGAACAATATACCAGGGTTCGTACACATTTCTGAACACGGAAATTAAGTACCTTTTAAGGACAATTAATGAAAAAAATTAAGGACCTATGAGCAAATGGAAACTGAATAAATTCAATTAAAAATACTATTTATGCCTGAATTTCACTTTTGTAATACCATCCTAAAAATAAAATAGATCCCTAAGTAGTATGCATTATTATTAAACATGAATTAATTAACATAATTATTAATAAGTTTGAGAACAGAATTAACTTTATGCAATTTATCAAGTAGCTATAAATACACTTATACTAGTTGGGCATATTTGAAAGAAGATAAGTGACATTTACTAACAGTTAGCTTTAAGTTGATTTTTTCTTTATGTCTCATTTTGTCACATACTTGGTCAGTCCAGAGAATTAGTTAATAGCAGGTAGATTTTATGTCAAGTGGCATAGGTTAAAATGAGAAGTAAGATCACAATCAGCATGATTCATAAAAAAAGACTGAATGTTGTAACTGCTGCTGCTTGTCTAGAGAGAGACCTGCTGATTAACAAACCTGAAAGGCCTGATGTAGGTACGGTTGGCAAGTGTTGAAAGTTAGTCAGGCTCTGTTTGATGCAGTTAGTGTCGTAGCCTCGTGTCGAGTTCCAGGGGTTGTAACCCAGTTAATATACTTTAAGGTTTCAATAAGCCATTAAAGCACCAGAGGTGATAAGTTATTTTGAATTATTTTATGTCTCACTAGATGCAAAGACTAAGTCTTACTTGAATTTTTACATTTTTGTGTTTTATCTTGTGACCACAGTGAGCATTAATGAAAGGCAATAACTCGCTTTAATACACTGGTGTGCAAAAATTAAGGACAAGACGGTTTTTTTCAATATGACTTTGTACAAAAGCTTTCCGAATCAACACATTTAATACCGTAAGATCCCCAATACATACGGACATGAGTAATGTAAGCAACACTTACTAAAAGAGAAATCAGAGGGATAAAAAGAAGCTTTATTGAAAAAGTAGCATGGAGCGCAATGCAACTGAAGGCCGAAACATCCCTGTGATGGGTGTCCAGCAAAAAACATCCGGTCTTTAATAGGGGATATGATCTCCCCTGACTGCTAAGCAGGTTTCACAGCATCTGCCCATGCTGAGAATGAGGGTGTCAATGAGTTGTTGAGGCATTGCTGCCCATTCGTCTTGCAGCGCCAATCGAAGCTCCGGAATCGTTAACGGGTGGTAAGGTACGAGCTGCCAAGCGTCTGCCTAGAAAATCCCATACATGCTCAATGGGATTGAGATCCGGAGATTGTGCCGGCCAATCAATACATTCAATATCCTCACTCTCTAAGAGCTGTTCGGCAGCTATTGTGCGATGACATGGTGCATTGTCGTCCATGAAAAGGAACTGCGGACCCATAGCGCCTCTAAAAAGACGCACATATGGAAGAAGAATCTCGTTACAATAACGGGTCCCGTTGACTGAACTGCGTCGAAGATGTGAAGGTCTGTACGACTACCAAGCATGATGCCTCCCCAAATGAGAACACTGCCACCTCCATACATGTCCCTTTCAATGATGTTCGAGGGATGATTGCGGCTTCCCCGCTCTCTCCAGATGAGTATGCGATGAGAATCGCTACTCAGACTGAATCTGCTCTCATCTGTAAAAGAGTACTCGTCCCCATTCATTGTCTCTCCAATTCCGGTGTTCCCAGCACCACAGAGAACGCCTTCTCCGATGGGCAGGCGTTAGAGGTACACACCGTACAGGGCGTCGTGCAAACAGACCACCACCGAGTAGTCTTCTGGCCACGGTAAAACGCAATATCGGTCGCCTGTCTCGTGTGTCTAGCGCAGTGCTCTGCAACCGGTGTGCCATGAGTAGGATATTGGTGCGCCGCAATCAAATACATGTATTTGACATTTTGCAATTTTTTATCATGTATTTAATACACAATGACAATTTTTTTCCTTAATAATGTCTATTTTAAATGTTTTTATATATTTCACTGTTGTGTGGTTGTGTGTGTGATTGTAAGTGTGTCAGCATTTGGATTTTTTCGGCACTTCCTTGATAACTCGGAACTCAAAAATATATAACTTTTTTTAAGCGCAGGTATCACATTGATAATTATTATGATTGCATATAAATAAATATGTTATGGTTTTATAATTGTATATTTTTCAAATTAAAAACAAAAATTTATTGTAAATTTTGTGTATAAATCAATACATATATACATTAGCTTTTGGTCTGCCACGAAATTCTAGAAGATTTTTTGTGCGTTGCAGGTGAGAAAAGGTTGCGGAGCACTGGTCTAGCGATTTCTCCCGCTGTCTGCCGCCTGTTTCTTCTGGCCTGTAAGGCAATATACCGGTCATCTGCGGGTGTGGTTCCTCGTGGACGACCACTACTAAACCCCCGGATAGCTGTTCCTGTAGTTTGAAATTGTCTCCAAAGTCGTGAAACGATGCTGTGAGCAATTCCGAAATCTGCAGCCACACTTGTCACACTGCGGCCTTCCTCCAACTTCCCAATGATTCGACCTCGGGTAAAAGCATCCAGATGTCGTCTAACAGATTGATTATTCGCCATTACTCGCTGAGGCAGCAGCTCGGTGTGATTTTAACTGCTATACGGCATGCAATCTCTTTGCCAAAAATACTGATCTTAAACCGACAACATGCTTTATACTACTCAGACACTCCCCTATTACGTCTACCTGCATATCTGCGCATGTGCTACCGTACATCACCTTACTTAATCTCCTGATTGGTCTTTCTGTCCGCTCTGCCTCTTCGTTCAGCTGATATGCCAATTTTTCGACTTTGCAGTTTAAAATACATGTAATTTATGACATTGATTCTTAAACGATATTAGAATAATTACAGATTAAAAGCTAAAAAACATTTCTGTTTTGTAACAACACTCAAGTAGATATTTATCCGTCATTTTAATTTAAAGCCTTCCCAAACATTTTGGTTACTATATATCGATTTCCTTCTCTTTAAGCATCTTTTCAAACAATTAAGAGATTTGTCTCAATATGCAAACCAATGCTCTCGCTAGTTTCTGTGTGCTTTAACTCCTAACTTGTCAACCTCTCCACAATGTACCTATGACGGTTTACTTGATCTGGTAAAAGTTAAATAGTTCAAAACCCCCGACAGACGTGAAGCATATTATCGATATGTTTGAAAGTAACTACAATATCAAACAAAGGTTTAAATAAGCCTTAAAAAAGAACCTAGAACATAAAGGCATGTTCTGATGCTAAAAAAAATCAATTACAGCTCACGGTGATGTAATTAAACAAGAACAATCAAACTCAAACTAAAAATGTGGACTACTAGGTCAAAGATTATACAGTTTAATATAAATTTAATCTGGCTCAGTAACTCTATCATATGAGGAAATAGAAATGGGAAATTATAGTAAAGGCTAAAATTATAAACAATTGGGTAATTTACATAATATCATAATATATGTATATATCATATATCTTTGCACATATCTTTGAAGAATAATTTTCTTTGTGTATTCAGTTTCTTTCTTCAACACGTTTCCTTTTCATTTTAGAGTTTTTGGATTTAATTAAGGATTTCTGCTATTCTAAAAAACACAAATTAATTTAGAATGTATATAAAAAGCAGCTAATTTTATTTCTTTAGTAATATGCACATTCAATCGAACGACAAAATCTAGAAATGGTAAAACTTTTAGAATTTACAGCAGGCATTGAAAGCAGAATTTAGGATCTCACAGAGATTGCATCAGGTGGGAAAATGTTTAGTGCCAGCTGTACGTATGATGCATTAAGACATATTAGATGAATCTTTTAAATTGTAAGTTTTCAATTTCCTTATTAATAAAAAATCTCTTTCTATGATGTCTGCCAATGTTATAAGATTAGAAGCATTTTTGATATTTTCCATGCTTATATCTAGTGAAAAGTAAAGAAAATAAAGGGAAGCTATGCATGTTAAGAAAACGAATCTAGTATCAGAAGAAAAACATTCAAATACGTTTTCATTGTTCTTCCAGATGTTCTCCAAAAGGTAAGAAATTCATTGCAAACTTTCTGAAAAATACATCCATTACATGTTTGATACCATGGAGACATTTTTAACTTTGTCACATATTTCTCGAATCGTGTGTCTATAAATCTTGCCTTCAAATCCTTCTAAATTTTCTAAGCTTCAATGTCTAAAATCCTAAAGAAAAATTATCCTTACCAATTCTGTAACAGCAAAATGCCAGAAATATTTTGGGCGAAAAATGGTGGGGGGGGGAAAGTTTAAAATTAATTTTATGGAGAAAACTGATGCATATTTCTGAGACAATTACATGGTAAAAACTCTTACTGTGAAAAAATTAAGAAGACATTTTTAATTAATTACATAGCTAATTTTGCTTTTTGCTAAGAGCTGTTTCTTAAATTGTGCTTAATAGCATTCATTATACCTTGTTTATATTTCAGATTCGAAATATTGTATAATTTATAATATGACAGCGAAAAATAAAAATGGTTTATTTTAATGTTATTTTTTAATTATAATTTCAATACATTACTACTATTTTAATGAAATTTATCAATGCTACGATGTTTTAAAAAAATCGTCGAAAAAATCTCAGAATTATAAATTTTCTATAGAAACTGATCTTAAAATCGCCAAAATGTTGATAAGTGGCCAAATTTAGAACCGTTTAATAAAAGAACTCACATCTCTAAAAGCAAAAAGTTGTTTAAGAGTTCTTTATTAGAAAAAATGATTTTCGAAATGCTTATGCTTCACTAAACTTGAGTATCCCATCGTTTATATTAGAAATAAAAACAAATTATATCTGATAGATATAATAATATCTATCAGATATAATTTGTTTTGTAAGAAAGATAAATTAGATTTTGTTTATGAATAATCAGCCAGAAGTGCTAAGTACTGAAAGCTCACCGTTATTTAAAACACAGAATTAGCAGAAGCAGATGTGCTAGCATCATCTGATTTTATATTGTAGTTGTCAAAAACAGGAGTGAGATTATGTGTGTCTAGTTTCCTCCCTTCTATTTTGGCTTCACTATGGATATGCGAAGAGCACCTTTATGTAGTCTAATCTTCTTGATTTTACATGATACAAAACAGAGAAGGTGTTATACATTATTAATAGCAGATATAAAAAATTCTTATAAAAGATTTGTGTATATTTTGTGGTAATATGTGATAAAATAATAGTAGTATCTGCTTGTATTTTATACACTTACAACATACCTAAATATTTCTTTACATCTTTCTGTGCATTTAGATTAAAAAATTTGCCTGCAAGTTTTTGCAAATCATTGAAATACTAGTTGGAAAAAAAGAGAGAGAAAGAGAGATAAGCAGAACTATGTTGCTTAAAGATCACCATTACAGAATTCTCATTTATCATTTTGAATAAAAACAAAAAAGATTTCTTTCCTATTGTTATATTTAGTTAGCTTCATTTTTATTTAAAACTTGAATACCATTTATTGTTTTATATACAACAAGTATTAAATGCAATATTATTACCAGAAGAGAAAACAACAATGCCAGTTTAAAAATAGAGCAATCTACAGAATTTATTTAAAATATTTTTGCAAGAATATATAATATGGTGATGAAATTCACATTTCACATCTGAATATTTCGTGCTAATTTAGTAAAGTAATGCAGATACGTTGAGCTACATTAACACACATCTGTAACAAGAAGTGATTATTTATGCATTGAAACAAAGCAACTGCTTTTAAATGGGGGGGGGGAATACTCTACTGTTATAAAAGAAAATGACTGAAAAAAATCTAGTTATTATCAAAACAGCTAGCTTACCATTAATTCTTCATTTATAATCATTTTGCATAAAATACTGTGAACAACTCCTTTATCAAGCTCAAACATTTCAGACAACCTTGCAACAGAAAGAGAGTCATAATAACTGCTGTATGTAAAAAGATAAGTTCTAAGAGCTTCTTCTTGAATTTTTTGAGAAATCATTTCCCTGACCTTTTCTGCTTGATGAAATAAATCCCAAACCTGTACTTAAAGAAGAAGAAGAAGAAAAAAAAAAAAAAAAGAACTACACTTTGAACTAATCATAAGAACTAATTTATATAACATAAACACTATTTTGTTTAAACACAAACTCATAAAACCAGATTAAAATTTTCATACACTGAATTGTAAAAAGAATGCAATAATTTTATTAGAATATTGGAAATTACTTGGGGCTACCTATTACAGCAAAGCACTGAAAAGCTATTTTTTTCAGTAGCAAAGTGCTTGTGTAGAGCTTTCTAAAAGAAATTCATACTACAGCACTGAGAACCATGTAGCTATCCCAATCAATAATTATAACTACTCAGTCACAACTTGATATCGAAAAAACTGACAGTTTAAAAAAAAAAAAATGGAATAATAGTAGAAATGCATTTTAGTTTTTGTATGTTGTGACTTGTCTGATTTACCTGACAGGAACATTAGACCAAGTCCATGGATTTTATTGTGTCCAAAGATTCCACCATATGTTGGTGTATCAAGCCTTGGGTATTTTATAGGCGACAATACAAATTTGCCCAATTTTGGAAGCAGAAATACCTGGACGATGAATCCAAGAATCTTCTGTCCATCTCCTAGATCTCTCAAGATGATTTTTATAAAAAGTGTAGACGTAAGTGATGGACAATATATTACGAGTTGTGAATGAACCCTCCCTTATTCTGTAAAATACGACATCTTTAGTAACTGGCTGCCCTCTCAGTCCACATAAGGTCAAGCTTGTGCAATCGTATTGTAATCTATTTTGTATACTTTGTGATAAATCTAAAGGAAATAATCAGGTAATTGGATTGAAGAAATTATGTCCCCATAATGTAAATCAGTGCCTTCCATGCATCTGTAAGAGCAGTTGTTCCAATTTACTAAAATCACCATGGTGATGAGAACCTAAACGTCCTGAAGAAACATTATCAGGATAGTCATGAAATGCATGGTTGAACATTCAAAGTAAGTACTTCACTTGTATTATTTTTGAAGAAATATGGCTAACTGATATGAAAACCTACCATTGTACAAGTTTTATATTATACTGCAACTCAGAAACTGGAAGAGGGCATCCAATGCAGTTCTGGAACCCACTATCAATAATTCTGCTTAGTGACATGAATAATTCTACTGAGGCAATGCAGTGCTGCAGGGATCACTGCTTCATGGTGATCCCTGCAGCACTGCATTGCTAACACTAACATGGTGACTGTCATTTGGGCAATGCCATCCCATAGGTCTCGTATTTAGTCACACTTGAAAACACTATGTTTTCCTAATGAAACTTCTGAAAAGCTGTTTGATTCACTTTAGACGTATACAAATAATAGTTCCACTAAATCAGCTCTGAACATTTCTTATACAAAGCAAACTGAGTGCTCTTAAAAAATACAACACTCACTATTATTTCAGATGTATTTTGTCTGATGTTAAAGAAGGTAACTTGAAAAAGGTTTTGTGAAAAATGAATTTTTGGTGAATTGTAATTATGATAATTAAATTTAGTTTAGTAATTGAAGAATATATATAGCCTTTCTTTAATCTGAGGGCAAAGAAATGAGATTTACCAGTGTAAATCATTTCTAAATTACTAAATTTACATTGCATGACATTTTGTACTTCAAAAGAAAAATTCTTTGGCACTACAGATTCATACATAACTTTTAGAAAAATATGCATTAAAAAATAAAAATTTGAAAACTAATATATAAGACCTTGTATCCTTTCATGATATAAAATATTAGTTACTAGTTGAAGAATGGTATGAAACTACCAGATATAAACTTTGAAATTTTTTTATATGAATTAAGAGAATAAATGTGACTTAGGCATCATTTATCAGCAAAATTAAGTTAAACAGTTCCTTGCGTATTTAGAAATGCATAATATAAGCTGCAAAGAAAGAGCTGCAATGAAAAATTTATAGAAAAATAGCTATATTAAATTTATACAATATGCAGCGAGAATCCACCGTTGCATTTTAGTTTTAAACTCATTTAAGGTCTACTATTATTTTTATATTTTAAAAACTTTTAATAATAATGCACGGAAAATAAAATTAAATATAAAATCAGTTGTTTTCCAAGAATTACACACAAAACACAACAGAGATCTCGCATCACATTTGCAACATGTACTCTGAGATTTTAATTACAGACAATTCAGAAATGAAAATATGATTTTTCAATTTTACCTTAGAATTCATCTTTTCATTTATAATGTAATCTTTACAAGCTTTCCAGTTACCAACACGCATTGCTTTAGATGCAGCAACAACATGCTCCCGCATACTTTCTGGTGGACCTGAAAATATATATATATATATATATATATATATATATATATATATATATAAATATTAGAATATTAACAAACAACTTAGGCTTCCACAATACTGATGCTTATTCACGATCTACTTGGGGGGAGAGAGAAAAAGTGAGAAGTAAAATTTTCAGAAAGGGGAAGGGTTCAATTAATATTTTATAAACTAAGTTACTTATTTAATTATGTTTTTTAAAAGAAGGTCCTTTGATACAGTAGGTACCACTTAATGTGATCACATTTATCTGCAGCTATTCTGATAACATTAAACAATAAGAATAAAATATCCTTCAAAAGAGCAATAACTAAAAACATATAACTAGGTAGTTTCATTGCATTTTAATACAGGAAATGGAAAGACTTGTTTATACTATCATACCATCTGTTCGTACTATTTTTAATGCAAAAGTGCATTTATGAACACTTCATAACCTTTCTGGAAATTATTTGATGGATGCTGTCACCCTAATATAAATACACAGAGAACATCTCCATTGCAAAAGAACTTGCCAATGTAAAATTTAACATTAGATCCCCTTGCCGGCCAAAAAAAGAGAAACATAAAAAAATAAACTGAGCCTAGCGTAGATGTTTTCATAAAATGTTATTTCAGAGGGGAAAAAATTCTGTAAAAATGTTTTTGCTTCTGAAGAAGAAAGACCCATGTCTGATTGCCTTCATAATCAAGTTATTAAAAATCTATGTCAAAACTGAGCTTTTTTTGGGAGAGGGCCTAATTTTAAATGATTAACTTGAACCAAAACCCAGCTTTTTGATGACTTAATCCTTTACTTGCCAACATTTCTCTGTCACTCGGAATTTTTATAATCAGTTTTGAACTTCTTTGACAACTTTACTTCAGTTTCAAAAATTTACTCTATAATAGTTTGATAATATTAACTGAATCATTGATCACAATATTCAGATGGTAACATTAACAACGATCACATTAAGCGGTGGCTACTGTACTTGTGTATTAACTGGTATTAGCTGATACCTGCCAGCAAGCTACAGATGCCTTTTGGCAATAAAATATATTTTTGACATCAGCAGATTGATGAATAAGTTTTTTTTAAAAGAAAATTTAAGTTGTTCAATGATTCAAAATTGTTTCAGACTATTATATTCCTTCGCTTCCATACAAATTCTTTTAAATAAGAAGCAAGTCACTTCACTCAACCTAATTCCCAGTTCTAAAATTATCAGATGTTGCTGACATCACAATTTCATTTTGCATTTGCTGTCACAACTTCACTGTGCATCCCCTGGGACAGGATGACTCATATTTCTTGAAGAATCCAGTACAGCTTCTACACTCCCCAATTACTGGTGGGAATCAAAGTCAGCAGTGGCATTTTTGGTCATGTACTAGTTAATATGCAAGTATAATTGTTTCTAAAGAGGTAACTAACAGATATTAAACACATTTAATAATGGCAATATCTTCATGACTTTTATATATAGAAGAAAGTAGCAAGACAACATGAATTAGAGAGACCTTAGTGGTCAAGAACTTTGCACATTCAGCTGCAAAATTTTTAAAATTTTATAAGTAAGAGGAATGTTAAAAAGTACATTTGACACTATAGTTCCTTAGCAAAAAGCTAAAATCATGTAACAACTAGAAACATTAAAGTAGTAAAAGCTATCTCGTAAAAACTAAATGTAAAAGTTACAAATCGAGATGACTTCAAAATCAAAAAGGGTGAGAAAAAATTAAGAATTTTAACGCACAAATAATTTAAAAAAGAACTGTTGTAAAAATTAAATACATTTCAAATACATAGTAAATATGTACAGTAAGACCCCGCTTAACGCTGTTTCGTTTAGCGCTCTTTTATTTCAACCCGGGGATTCCACGAAATCGCTCGCAGCATACGGGGATTCCCTGGAATATTATGCAGCGATAGGTTTCAAATACATATCCGAAAGAGTGTACTTGTATTTCTTGTTTGGTGCGGTATTGTACAGACATATTTTGAAGGGGTAAATGTGGAAGATGTCGAAGAAATAATTCAAGAAGCAGCGGCTAGTCTTTCTAATGATGAGCTCAAGGAATTAACTGAACAAGAAGAAAAAAATGTTGACAGCAGTGATTCAGAAGAAGAGCAAAAAGAACTTTCAATGGCGTTTGTAAAAAGGAGTTTGTCTACCATAACTGAAATAATGGATCAATTCATTGAAAATGATCCGAATTTTGACAGGAGCTCAAAAGTAAGGCGTGGTGTTAGAGATGTACAATTAAAATAAAATAGCTAAAAAGCTACTGATGCGCTGTAATTTAAACTGTAAATGTAAAACTTACTATTAAGCAAGAAAAAACTATACAAGAACGCCTAGTTTGGCAAATTATATATATGTGTGTGTGTAGGGTATTTCTAAAGTTTTAGGAATTGAACTCTATTTATAGAACTTACAAGCAATGCTATCAGCCAGAAACAAGTCATGACATGTTTATGCAGTTATCGGGTACATTATTCAGTCTGATTCAGTTGTTTGACTGATATATGTGGACTTTTGTACCATTTTGATCGTTTTTTGTTTTTCTTTTTGAAACTATGGAAGATGTGAAGAGCAATCTCTTATTTATTTATTTATTTATTTTTTGTGGAAAGAGGGTGTAAAATCTCTAGAAATTCATCAATTTTGGGGAGGAATATTCTGTTTCCATATTTGAAAATACTTTTACAGGGTTTTCAGTTTGAGAATTTAAACATGCCATAAATATGTGGACTGAGAAGACACTGGAAAAGTTCTTCAAGGAAAAATTAGCTTTTCACTGTGATAAACATATTTAGTTAACTGGACATTATGCTGAAATATTGCATATACAGTACAAAGTTCGAGAGCCAGATGTCCAATATCCAGAATGATCTAAAATCAGAACCTTAAAGGCACCAACCCCCTTTTCTTGTATGCTTTACTCATGTGCATTTGATTGTTTCCCCATAATAAAACATGTGGAGAGTTCTGATTTCTTAATTTTCCTTTGGCACTAAATAAAATACCTTGTTATTCAAGAAACATTCGCTTTAGCATAAATTTGTGTGATCAATGATCTGGCTGCATAGCTGCATATCTGCTTGGCATACATCTCAAATCGAAACATTCTACATCGAAACATCGTTGATATTACACTACTAATATTTTATATCCCTGATGCCAACCTGGTGAATCATTATTATATTTTGCTTTCATTACCACATGTTTATCAACACATGATAACTCGAGTAATGAATGACACATGCAGTGATTCCTAATTTTTTTTTTTTTATATTAGTAATTGAATAGCAAAAAGTACAGTAACTTTTTATATTGACATTATGCTTGATGATGATTACAGATTTAAATGATAGAGATTTAAATGCTAAGAAATGATGATAAGAGAAAATTTAAAATATTTATTTCCATATGCAAAAAACAGATTTTGTTAATGATACTCATAGACTAAAAGATTACATTTAGTGCTATCTGAATTAAAAATAACTGATTTGTTATTCAAATAAATCAAAAACCGACAGCAGAATTTAGGAAAAACAAAATTTTTGAATTTTAGAGAAGCACGGAGCAACAAAATTAAAGGACGGCAAAATTTTCACAATTCAGGGAAAGCATTGGGACACAAAGTTTAGAAGGAGACTTACAGAGGTGCTGAGTAGCAGAATTTAGGATCCCCAGAGATTGTATCAGACGGTAAGATATATAGCACTGGCACTCAATGAGCCTTAAGCTTAAGTCCATGTGCGAATTTATTCATTCAACACTCAGATAAGCCTTAAACATGTGCGAATTTATTCATTCAACACTCAGATAAGCCTTAAACATGTGCAAAAAATAGACGTAAGTATAATAAATAATTAAATTAATATAATTCAGTCTTAACTGTTTCAGTGTGCAATAGAAGCAAGACAAAATTTAGCAGAACTTGTCTTTTGTCATCAATCTTATGACACAGAGCCAATAATGTAAAGTGGACATTATTAAATTGGGTTAAAATTATACTTTACTGATTCCAGAGAATTTCAGTTAATATAGCAGATTGCTGCATTCCTCAACTTTTTGATTTAATCAAGCTTATTATTTTTTGCAGGCTGTTATTATTACAGCAATTTTATGAAGTTTGAACTTTCGATTATGTCGAAAAGAATTTCTAATTCTGAAGCTGCAAAAGGATTTACAAAGTGAAAGCAAGTGTCGATGTCCATTAAACAAAAAGTGGAATTGCTACAAAAAATAGATAAAGGTATATCCGTCTCAAAATTACACGAGGTGTATGGCTTTGGAATGTCCGCTGTATATGACATAAGAAAACAGAAAAATGAGCTTTTTGAATTTTTGGCAATTCCGACGCCCCACTCGCAATGAATAATAGAAAAATTATTTGTTATGCTTTAAGCTACGATCATGACAAAATAATGATTGAATGGGCCAGACAGCATCACAGCGAGGGCATGCCATTGACCGATAATGGCTCAAGCCAAAATATTTCACAATTCCTTCTTCTGAACAAAATGGAACTTTGTAACTACGCACGAAATTATGTTTCTTTATAGAATGAAAGAGAAAGTATTAGCTAAAAAAAAAAAAAAAAAAAAAAAAAAAAAAAAAAAAAAAAAAAAAAAAAACACTTTCATTGATAGAAATGTTTAAAAGTAAACAGATAAATATTAAGCCCTTTTTTTTTTTTTGCAAATTTTGATATCCTTTAGATCATAAATACTTCATTATTTCATAAATCACGATTTCATATTTTTAATTTTAAAATTTCTACATGCCATCTTACTAGATTTAAACTGATGATCTAATATCCGGAAAAATCCCAAATCCAGAATCGCTGAATTCCTGACAAGTCCGGATCTTTAAAATTTATATTTTAATTCCTAGAACTTTGGAAACATCCCTTGTATCACTATGCTACACAATCTATAAGTAAACACTTTGCATACGTGCATTAATAAAGTTTTTTCGACACATTTCCAATCATATTTTATAATTGCAGGGGGCGAAAGGCCACAAATCACTGCTGTAAATTACGTGCATCAACATTTGCTCATTGCTAATGTGATAAGATATTAAATCAAAAAAGCATAGAGAGGAAGTGACAAGTAATTTGACAAGTTCTCATCACACTACGAAAATTTTTAAATTCTAGTTAGCAATAAAAAAAAAAAAAAAAAAAAAAAAAAAAACCCTACTTATTTGGCACTATTGAAGTCAGATCTGATCAAATTTAAAACACCAAGGAACAAGTTACTTATATAGTCATAAGTATAAGCACACACACGCAGAAACGATCTAAACCAGCCATACAACATCAATAACTCAGCAATACAGAGCTGAAGACAAGAATCTAGTTCAAGTCCCAGATTTAAAAACATTTATAATGTGCATGACTATAACCAAAATACCTGAGACTGACACTGCACTCGTTTGGAACAAGTCACATTTGATCAATAAACATTCAGGAACACAATATAAGAACCAGGCTCTTTCCTGTATGGATACATTTAGAGTTAGTGAGGCATGTGGCTCACTAACTCTAAATACCTAGCTAGTTTGCTGGGTTTCAATAAAACAAGGATTCCTCCCTGGGTTTAATCATGCCAAGTATGGATTCTGTAGTCAGAAGAACAAACATTCGATTCAGGCGATGGACAAAACTATTTTTGCTCAGGAAGGGCAGCACAGCAAGAATCTTAAACAACTGGTGCAGTAACAAGATTATTCTCAGTCAGTGCTAGATTTCTAACATAATCTCGGCATGTCTATTTGCTGAAGCCATGAGTTTGATCTCCATACGAACATAAGACTAATATGCATCATTAGCTAAATGGTTGAATTTTGTTTGTTGCAAAATGGTTGCAGGTGTGCTCCATTTAATAATGAAATATATTCCAAAAGCTAAAAAATTAACCATTTCATGAGTTATTAAAGAAAAGTAGTTAATAATTTGACATATTGTTTCACTTTAAAAAAAAAAAAAAAAAAACTTTTAAAAAAGGTGACTACAAATTTTGAGGAATAAGGTCTTACAGTTAATGCATAATTTCACAATAATACTCTTCAAATGGGATTATCTAAATACAGTCACTGTTTTCTAATAACATCTGTAAGCATCATCAGTACAGTATGGGCCGGCATACAGTTCAACACGATAGGCATGCCTATTGCAGCACAGCTTATTTTAAATTATTAGTCGTCACTTTATATTTATTCCTTGTCATATATACCAGAGAATAAAAAGTTTGGAGAAGAGAACAGAAGAATTCTACCAATAAGAAAATTGAAAAAATCTTACAATATGTCAAAATCAATAAGTAGAATTATTCCCTGAATTCCCTTCTATTCATTGTTAGTCTAATTAGAGAGATATTCCTGTTTTGACATGTTGTTAACAATGGGCATATTTTTCATAGTTGGATAATAAGCTTTATTTACTTAAATATCAAATCTGAATTAAAAAATAACACAAAACTTACCTACTAAAGCTTGTCGTTCACTGTTACGTAACTGGTGGTGAAAAGATTTACTAATCATCCTTCGTCTGCCTTCCAGCTCATGTGCTATAACAAAAAAAGGGTAAATTTTAAAATAATTTAAAATGGAGGAGTCTACAGGGTAAGGTGGAACAGCAGTGCGCTGGGGGGAGGGGCAAGGCTCCTTTCATGGGTAATTTAATTAAGCCTGCTTTAAGTTTAATTAATACTAATTAGGACTTAAGTAAAGAATCTCTTCATAAAGTATATATTGAGACATTTATTATGATATATCATAGTGCACAATTTAATAAAATTAAGGATAAGTAAGAATTAAATTGATTTTTTTGTGATATTTTATAAGTTTTAATTAAGATTAAAGGTTGAAATTGGAAGTTTATTGAGAGGAATCCCTATGGCATGTTCTTGAGGCTTTGGGCCTTTTCTGTCAGTTGCAGAATTGGTGTCATAATCCAGTATTGGTATAGATGGATTATTAGGTTTTGTGAGGTCTCAATAGAATTTTTTGAAAGTTTGACCATTACTTCTGCAATTGAGGAATTCTGCATTCGCTGCGAATTGTTTCAGTACGAGCATACCATGGGCAATTTGTCAGCTGTCTTAGTGTGGAGTTTTTGAATTCTGAGTAAGGAGCTTTTGCAGACATAAACCTAGACTGGGTATGTATATGTGAGAACTGGCCACATGATAGCCTTCTAAATGAATAATTTTTGGTCTATTGCTAAAATGCTGTTTCGAGAGATTAGGGGGTTAAGCATGATCTAAAACAACACCTAGGTATTTGATTTCCTTGGCCCAGGGAATAGAGGTTCCATAGAATGTCAGTCTCATCTTCGTATGACTTTACTCAGCCAAGATATTAATTAAAAACTCTGAAAACACTATTTTCACACTCATTTTCCGAGTGGAAACAGTTGTGCATGCTGGAGATGAAAAAGCTTCATTTCGAAAAATGTTGCAACTGCTCGCTTTTAAATCGAAAGGTTTGTTAATCAAAAATGTGTTTATATAATATGAAATAAAATTACCACTTTAAAATATTAAGCAGATGGTGTTGTATATATATATATGGCCATTCTGATGTTGAAGAAAGTATGTGATTGCATGTTGAATTGTTTTTGTTAATTTCAGCATTTTAAATAAATAGCTGCTGCTGACAACTTTTTTGTTTCAGGTTAGGATAATTAACATGATATGCTATTGCCATGTTAATTATTTTATTGACATTAAAAGAAGCTGTATTGCATAAAATTTACAGCATGCCATCATATGTATTAACCTGAAGTGTCAAAAGCTTTCGTTTCCTGATTTGGCAAAAAATTATTTACGAATTAGTTGTTGCTTGGAAAGAATAAGCTGATTTTATTCATATTGAAATGCTTTTATGCATTTTCTTTTCAGGCATACATAGAGCACATAAATTTGGTTTTGGCCATAATCCGCTACTTTCAAAATATTTTTTCGTAGAAAAGAGAAATTTGTTCAAATGTAAAACCAGTCTTTCTTTAACTTATAAACATATTATGGTCAGTCAAAAATGCGAGTTATATAAGATAACTCATTCGCAACTATCTTAGATGCGAATGAGATATCTACTGTATCTCATTTGAACAGGTAAATAACTCTCTAAATATACACAAAAACTTATGCAAAATGTACAGAAGTCTACTTTTAAAACAAAGGACTATGAGGATGCAGCTTGCATATTACGCTATTTGATAAGAGTAATTACTGTCAATATTATGCACTTGTTTACTTAACATAAATCTCGATAATGGGGTTAAAAATATATTGAAGGGATAAAAAGTGAATTGTGAAAAATGATTTGAAACTTAAATGTAAAAGGTTATTTTTGAACTTGCATACTTGTGAGATTCAAAGTGCATGCTCCTAACCTATTTTTCCTTCTAGGAATCTCGAAGGATGTGAGAACCAAAAAGGAAGAACCCGCACTGAAAATTTTATTGCCAAAGATTCTGCAACATAAATAGTTTTAAAAAATGATGCTAAATTAGCTAAAAGTTTGTAAAAGCCCAGCTGAAGTGTTTAGATCAGAACTGGATACTTCCATCCGAATTCATTAAAACTATTTGAAAGTTTGAATTATAGTGTGTGTGTGGGGGAACTATAAAGCCCATTTTAAGCAATTAATCCATTTTTATGATTTGGATTATAACATCTCGTTTTCATTAGCCCTCACCAGGATGCAAATGAATTAAGACTATTTAAGGTAATGGTTTTGCATGGTTTAGAGAGTGAGCTTTTGGCAGCAACACTTGCAGCTTTATTTCTTGCCTAGCTCTGCTATGTTAGTATTCTGACGTTAGCCATATTGCTAGCCAAAATTAAATCACACCTTTAAAAGCTTGAGCCAAGCTTATAGTTAGGTCAAACTGTGTATTCTCAGGCTATAAAATCTCATTTTAAATTGTGAAGTCAATTTTTACTTAATATTCGCCATTGGCAGAGTTTGACTGTATGACTGGCAACTCTGCCAAACACTGGCAGAGTTTGACTGTATGACTGTATGTAGTTAGGTCAAACTGTGTATTCTCAGGCTATAAAATCTCATTTTAAATTGTGAAGTCAATTTTTACTTAATATTCGCTATTGGCAGAGTTTAACTGACTTTACTTAATATTCACCATTGGCAGAGTCTGACTGTTACTGATAAAAGACGCAAGCTGTGTCTTTATCAATAAATGACACTGCAGTGTAGCAGGTCTAAAGAACTTTTAAAATTAGTATTACACAAGTCAGAACCCTATAACCAAAGCAACCAGAACAATAAGGCGACGCAAAAATTATATATTTTCATATGAAAAAAAAAATCACAGAACTTTTACAGAAGCTTTAGGTGCCCCTCCAAAAGATACGATATATAGTTATATATGGTTTTTTAAAACAAATATGGATAAAATAATTGAACTTCTAATTTTACACAAATTAATACATAAATTCAAGTTGCAAGTGGACAGAGACAACACATGCACAAAATGCAATAAAAAACATTAGATATTAAGTTAATGTGGAATAATAATAATGCTAGTTATTATATGCATATTTTAAAATGCATTTTAAGGGCTTACCAGCCATATATGGGATTTCAAGCAACATAGCTGAAACCAAATAAACACATTCTAACAGTTCTAAGTTAATATGCTTGTGGAATGGAATTTGTCTGCGTTTCTCTATTTTTTCTTGGTCTGGAGTCCTTTCGTGCTGACGTTGAGGCAACAGCCCCTAATTTGAAAACAAAAATATTCATTAATATTCTATATCTATGAAAAATAGAAATGCCAATAAAAATATTTTCATTAAATGTGTAACTTTTATTGCATTTAAAAGACCACCTATTAAGATAATAAACTAGATTCTTCATAAAGTTTTGAATATTTTAGAACTTTGCAAAATAACTTTGACATGTTCTTGAAATTTTACTGCAGATGTGTATAAGAAAGATTCCCAACAAGCAAACAGTTGTTCTATTTATGAATAAGGTAACAGTTCTCAAAATAATCCAAGAAAATATGCTAATTAATAGAATAAAATGAATTCCATGAAATCAGGTGAAAATTAAAGTTATTATTACCTGGGCCAGCAATTCTTTAGCACGACCACCACTCTGAATGTCAAGAAGAGCAGCATGAGCGTCTTTTATAAAACCATGTCGAAAAGCACATAACCCCAGCTGAACAAGAGCTCTGTTATAAATAATCTGGAAAGATAAAAAAAATACCATCAAATGTATTAAAAAAACATACAGATTTTGATAATGAATGTACTGGTCTTGCAATTTGAAAGAATATTGATGTATGATGAAAGCTGGAAATTCAAAGAGAAACATTTATTAATCAAAACATAATTTGGGACCAAATAAAAATATCTCCTTTTTTAATTATCATTGTTATTAAAGGTGTTTAGCATGTACAAACCACATTATCTATGTATATATAATAATGAAAATTTGCTTACCCAATTTTTGATTTGAAAATACCATTTCCTAAAATGCAAAAGTTTATAGCATTTATTTTCATTTACAGCATATTTTATTTGCAAAAAAAGGTGTTTTTATAAAACAAAAGGAAAAGTACGATTCCCGCTGAATAAAAACCCTCAGTTAATCAAGCAATTATTATGTTCAAATTTGTTTATGCAGTTCATACATTGATGCATAAAATCTGCACAGATTTCCAAGAATAAATTTATAGACTTTTAAAACAAAGACTTGCTTTAAAGGACTTTGCCTATTACTTGGATACAGACCTTGGACCTTGCCTATTACTGAAATAAATGCAAAACTTGGAAACAAGTTTAAGTAGATTAAGAAAGGGAGGGGTTGCATTGGACAACACTTTTGAGTAAAATAGCAACCAAGATTAAATTTGAAGCTAGCCATTGTGGTGTTAGCAAACATTTTTTTTTTTTTTTTAATTTATTAATTCTCTCTCTCCAAGTTTTCACAAAAAAATAAGGAATATTTTATTAACTTCTTAACTGAAATTTTTATATAAACTAAATAATACGTTAAGCTGCTTCTTAACAAAACCCTGATTATTCATAGGAAATAAATGTTTTAAAATGTATCTTATTTTAAAAAACTAAATACATGTCCAGGATCAATATTTAAGGAAATAAATTCTACAATTACCATTTTTTTAAATGCCTTTTTTAAAAAAAATTGTCTGTTTTCAAAGTCTAAAGTAATTTATAGTTTATATAAAATGGAGGAAAAAACGAATTATTTTTAATAGTATGTAAACATGATTATTTTTAATAATTACACATGACTATAAAGCATTTATGTTTATAAATTGCAGTCTGGGACAATGGCTCCTTTAACGAATATGTTTAATTTCAAGGATAATTTATCAGGAAACTTGAAATAATGGTTAATGTGAACAGATTAACAAGTAGAATTTTTGGTTATATAAAATATGTTGCTTCTTTGAAAAACCGTAAATTTTCATACTTTTAAATGTAATGAAATTATGAAATACAGCAAAAAAATAAATTATAAATGACAGGGAAATAATTAATCCCTCCATATTCAGAATTTCATTTACTTTTATTTATGACTTTCATAGACTTACTTATAAATATTCTCATTTTTGGAATACAATATAGGCAATATATTTTTAGCATCTTAAAATGAGAAGCTATTCGTAATTAACAGTTATGTTGAAAATATATACAGAAATAATTTTATGTACTAAGAAAACAACATTAAATTTTATAAAAACAAGTTTTTGGAGTGAGTAACTACCATATTACTTCAAATTTAAGCCACAATGTATAGTCAGATGTTTAAGCTGCAAAATCAGGATGAAGTTTAAAATATGTTTATGCCAAACTATCATGTTTTAAAAATCAAAATAAATTTTCCCCTTTTTTATTATTTTTTCAATTTTTCAACTATAAAATCCTACTGGGTTTAATTTCAAGGGCAGTTCTCACCTCCCCAATTTTATAGACTCACTACAGATGAAATTCAAAGTAATACAATATTTTGAAATTTTCCAACAAATGGTCATATTAGCTTACTTATCAAAGTACAAGGTGTGGCTATTAATTTCCATGACTGCTCTAATAACATTAGAAGAGATGATGTGAAAAACGTAATCTTTTAATATGTTTCAAGGTAATCCCCCATCTGCCGTAATACACTTCTATGATCAGCTGTTCTCGGCTGTATAAATTGTGGAAACAACTTTTAAAGTCCTCTTTCGGAAAGCTCTTTAATGTCAACGTCACGTTCTTCTTGATGTCTTCAACATCCACAAAGCATGTTTCTTTGATCACAGTTTTGAGTTTGGGAAACAAAAAGAAGTATGGCAAATGATGCAGCTCCATGACCTCAGGCTTGGCCACAAACCTCTTCACTGGCAACGCAATGTGGGGGCGGGCGTTGTCATGCAACGTGACGTTGACATTGAAGAGCCTTCCGAAAGGGGACTTTAAAAGTTGTTTCCACAACTTATACAGCCGAGCACAGAAGTGTATTACAGCAGATGGGGATTTCTTCGAAACCATATTAAAAGGTTACGTTTTTCACATCATCTGTTCTGGTGTTATTAGAGCAGTCCTGGAAATTAATAGCCCCACCTTGTATATAAAAACTATATGCCTCAGAAAGCCTGAAGCCAGGAACCAAATAAAGGACAAACTACTAATATTTCGAGATCTTATTTACTTAGCCAATTTTAGTGGTTCAAAATATATTCTTAGTGTTCAGAAAGTGATAAAATTTTAATTACTGAAAATAAGGAAAAACTGAACATACTTCTTTAAAACTTACCATTGTTGTAATATCAGAATGTTCAATTGTATTTTGGAGATGAGACATTAGCAGCAGATCTCTAGCATGAAACCATTCATCATGAAGTGCAAGGTGATATATACGGAATAGAGTTGCTTGGGTTCGTATTCTGTCTGTAGTATCTTTAGCACAAATAAATTTACAGAGTTTTGTGATAAGGTCAGCACTAGTTTCTTCTTCTTCCTTTCCTTCATTTTCAGCTGATACATTACCATTTATTGTTCCATTAACAGTTCCATTAAAAGCAGTACTATAACCCATTTTTTCCTTTTTCTTGAACACTCTAGTATCGAACTAAAAGAAAAACATTTATATAAGAATATATAAACTTTCTTGCAAAAAATAATTCTATAAATATATCAATACTTCTGCATACAAACAAGATAAAAAAAGCACAGACTTAACATGTTGAAACACAAAATGTAAAATACATTATTTTCTAACTTTTCTTCAGATATAAATAATCAATTACCTTGTAATATAAATGTTCTATGCGACGTAAGTAGATGCGGCACAGTTCAGATGGTGTTCCTCTGCCTTCAAGATAATTCTGAAGTCTTTCAATAATATTACAGACAACAGTTTCATCTTTTAATCTTTCAACATATTCTGGTGAGTGGGCATCACAACCCTGTCATGCCAAAAGTGTATTAAAATAACATTGTCATAATTATTATACTGATCATAAAAATACTGATAAAATATAAATATCAATCTTTTTCAAGGCCTAAAACAAAACTGATACTAATTAATAAGTCTTCAGATTTAAATTACATTAGCTTGCTTATTTTAACTAGAATACCCTACATTTCAGAAATTTATTTCTTGTTCCTTTCTTGCAAATGTTATTTAAGAGCTGTTTTACACATATGAAATAATATGTGTATTAAAAGAAAATGTAAGATAACAATGTAACCTTCCTCTTCAAAGCAACCACATTCTTGTTAAACAGGTTAGAAGAATTATGATATTATGATGCATGGTAAGTTGTCTCATAGTATTCAGTCTTTAACTGGTCTCCAGCATATTTATGATTCTTTTAAGTATGGCACTATTCAGGCAGTTAATTCTACACCATGTTTATAGTATGGTACTTTTAATTACACAGCACATTATGGTTTAAGTAGATAACAAAATGAGAAACCTCATAAAAAAGTTTTTCTTTCTTTCTTTCTTTTTTTTTTTAATTCCAAGATTGCATGTAAATTTCTTTAACACATTTGAAATCAGTGCCAATTTATACAACATACATAGCTTTTACATTTTAATTCCCAATACTAAGTATGATATGGCAATTTTTTCAGCAACTACTAAATTTTTAGAAATGATTTTTACTTTTCATATGAGAAGCAAAAACATTAACACAAAATGACAAAAACTATGAAAATGATAAAATAAAGAAGGAAAAAAAGACTTCATTTTTGGATAAAGCATTACAGATATTTAGAAATAAATATTAAAGTACAAGAGGAGCATTAAATGGGATTTAAATTCTTTCTCTGACTACATGATACTACAGATCAGGGGTCGACAATGCAGTGCATGCAAAGCAATTTTAAAGTGCCCATTACACAAATATCTAAACATCTGAATAACAAACATTTGTAGCTATAAAAATTTTAATAGATTCTTGTTTTGCCAATTTAACAAATGTATGAATTTTGCAACTGAACCTTTCACAAAAACTGAATCTTAGTGATATCTAGATAACACTGACTAGATAAAACAATTTCTGGCCCCTAGAAATATCCAATTCCCCATAGAGTGAAATATTTTCTATCTCCATTATCTTCGTATAACTTCGTCCAACCACAGTGCTACGCTTTACATCTGTTACCTTTGTTTGTGCATAAAATTCACATTTCATGAATTTGTATTTGCGAGCAGAGTATGAATTTTTATCTTCAAATTAAAATATAACTAAAAAATACGGACAACATTGCTTTTGAAATGGTAGGTATTAAGCAGTGCCGTAGCTAGGATTCCAACATCCTGAGACAACTGAAGAATTTGCGCCCCTTTCTGTGTGCCAAGAATAGAAAACATTTCATTAAAAAAATTCATAGCATCGACTGGGCGTCGCCTGGGGACAGATGTCCCCCTTGCCCTACCCTAGCTGCGCCACTGGTACTAAGGAAATAATTTCATTTCAGCTATTGCTTTGAGTTAGCAACTTACTTTAGCTATACAACAACTTGGTGTTTTCTTGGTTGGCTAGCAACATTAGTACATAAGCATTTTTACAATAGCAAAGAATTGTTAGAACATAAACTTATTTTTATAATTCACATATATTAACTCTATTTTGATATAATTACATATTTATTATTACTGTAGATTCCTCAAAATGCCTGTAGAATTACCACATTTCTGAAATATGCCTTGCGAGTAAAATATGGTTGCCAAGCTCTGCCATAGAGACTAAATTTAGAATGTCAAGAACATTGAAATATTACCTTGACTTTTACAATAACATATTTTAAATTTACTTAAAATACTAATGTATTTATTTTAACATATGATGAGGAAATTATTATTCGTACATGTCATTGTGGAAAAATAATGATAATGAAAAATAAATAAATAAATAAAATAAAAATACTCAATATAAATTATGCAAATAGCATCCTTATATGAATCGAGATACATTTAATGCTAATATAGCGTTCAGATGCAAATAATTTAGAGTTACATTGTAAAAAAAGGACATATTTGCATCTTTCTTACCTGCAACATTTTAGTGAATTCTTCATCCATCCTCTCAACAACTGTTAAACAACAACCTTTAACTCTATATGGTGGAGTAATTAATTGCTCAGATTCTTCAGCTATGTGTTCACCAACAACTATGTTTGGATTTTCTATAAGTATATCAAGCAGCATGTTGATGTAGTCTAAGCATCTAAAAAATAAATTAAATATAAACAGTAATATCCCATTTGTAGTAAATACACAAGGTTATTAAATATATCTGGGCAAAATGCAAAAGCAGGTGCAATGTATTGAAGTAAGTGGATTTTATAATGGAATATGAGGAATGGTCCATTGAGGTGGCACAGGGAGATAATGAGCAGTAACTAAAAGCATTCTGTTGGTGTAGATTGTCATTCCCTATGCAGATTTCAAGTGACATGCATTGCTGTACAAACACAGTTTGCTGTTTGGAAGTAGTTGATCAAAACCAGTACTTAGGAATCATTCACAGCATCTCCTTTGAGAAGTTGCTTCATTTCAGCTGCCAACCCCATAGATAAAATGTCTGCTGTCAAGCTCAGCATTCATGCAGCAATACATACTACTCAGAAGTTCACATGTGGAACAGCAATTTATGTGAGCAAAACACATTTATCTACTGACGAATAATATCCTATACAACCTCAATGTGCCATTTCTGCACACACGTTCCCTTACAAGATCTGCTTATTTGAGCTCCTTATGAATTTTTTCAAGATATTTTTGAATCACCTTGTTTGTATTAACAAAAATGTGAATCCTACATATAAAGTACAATGTAAGCCATCTGCAGATGGAAAAAAAAGCATAACGAGAGTAGGTACTTTTTGATTATTTGCACTCGTACTGAAATACCATGAAAACAAAATGTTGATGATGCTATGCATCGTGTTGTCAAAAGGAATTTAAGTGGCAACCCACAATGCTGCCAAAAAGCATTTATGCGAAACCCAGGGATGAATATAGCATGTGCGTTTGAATACACATGGTTTTAAGCTTCTGAGATTCAAAGGCCATTTTTTCTAGTCAGTTCTTTCTGCATTGAGTGCATTTGTTTTTATTGTAATTAAAGGAAGTGCAACTGTGTAGTTTGTCACCTTTTATTTTCCATAATTCTATGATTGAGTATCAATCATGTGATGTATCCAACTGATGGTAGACAAATTTTATTGATCATACAGGGCATTGAAAATGCTGAACTCAGACAAACGTTGTTGATCATACTATGGTGCCAACATTCAGATGATAGAATGTCTGCAGGATCATCTTAAAGAAATATTGTACGGAATAAGAGAGCAACAACATTGTGATGCTGACGTGTCACTTCGCTGAATTGTGGTGGCAATCTAGACAATGGTGTAAAAATTCTGGCCATATCAAGAGACCTCAGGACAGTGTTTGTGTGAATGAAAAATAGGGGTAGCTATCAGCACTGTTTTATATCTGATTTTAGCAGTAAAATTAAGACTATTGACGGATGTGAAATAGGATTGCTTCAACTGACAGATGCTAAATAGGATTGCTGGAACTGCTTTTTTAATGCAATTAAAGTACAATGATGGCCACTGAGGGATATGATAGATCTTCTTCAAGTCTACATCAGTGTATTCTTCTGGTACTGTATTAATAAAAAGTTGCATAACTAATTCATATTTATTTATTTATGTACAGCTGCCTTTTGTGTAATTTAATATGGTAATATCATTAGTTACTTTGGTTTTGATCATGATTCCCGACAGTAGTTTATCTGTTGCATGAATACCTGTTATTCTTGCAAACAACTAAATAAAAAGAAAAGTATGCCTTGAGTTTTATCAACATGTTTAATTTAAATATGGAGTAAGTGGCATTTAATTTCATGAGATACAGAATTTTGATATTTAGATTTTTATGAATGCAGTCTAAAAAACGCTTGTCTTTGTATAAATCTTTATCTGATATAGAAAAGTATCTTTCAGGAAGTTGCATCCCAGAACTTGGCACATGTAGCTGTCTTTTCAGGCATATTTATTACGCATGAGAAATTTTTTATGTAAAAGTTTGTAATGCTTTTATTAATTTTTTTTTCATTTGGAGACAAATTATATTTGAATACTGAATCATTTTTATTATTGTGTTATTATACTGTGATTTAAAAAAGGAAATGCATATCTTACACATGCAATATAGCATAATGACACAAAAGAACCTATGTTCTTAGTCAGAAAACTGACATTCAATTTACAATAATTTTAAAACAAAGGGAAAAAACTGAAATTCATTATAAAGACTTTTACAGATTGTGTATATAAAATACAACTCGTAGGATTTACAAATGAGTTACAACTCCACCCGAACAATTTGACCTAGGTTCAATCCAGATGAACTCTGTTTTTTGTGTGTGCATCATGAATACAAGCAACTGCCCCATACAAGATCCTTCACAAAGGCATTCCTCCCCTTAGGCAGATAGCCCTCATGTACTTAGTTTTATTCAAATAACCTAACCTAACAAATGAATTATAAGCCTGCTACTTGGAAATTTAAATAAATTAACAATGTTATTCTTGTTTTTATAATAAAACTTTTACATGCAAGATAAACTTACTTTTGCCACATATCACCTTTCATACAAGTTGCAATATTTGGATTGTAGTCAAAAATGGCAGCTATAATGGCAAACATAATTTTTAGTAATATACCAGATCCCAAGTTATGGGTTTCACAAACATTCAGTAGTTCAATTAACAGATCTATTTGTTCACTACGGTCAGTTCCTTTCTTTCCTCTTGCTGCTAATATCTCATTGAATTTTTTTAGCACAACTTGGTGATTAATTTCAGCATCTTTAGCAAACATCTTTGGTTTCTCCTGTAAAAAAATACATACATTATTATAAAAGACTGACAGAACAGCATATAACTACTTTGAACATAGGTGAAAGAGAAAAGAAATTAACATCAATCGCAGTGAATTCATATCAGATCCTTACATATTACTAAACTAAGCATGTAATTCTTGAAGAAATTTTGATCTAATGGGAAAAGGAAAAACCTTAAAATAATAATGATATTAATAATATAAGCCCATTAATAAAAAATACTATGCCTCTAATTTTTGAATGCAAGTGAAAGGGAACAGCAAAAACTATCAGTTATTAAATTGCACATTAATTAAATTTTGTTTTACTGGAAGAGAAAACAAAATAAATAAATAAAAATTAAAAATAAAACAGGTGTACTACCAACTTATAGATACAACTTGGAAAAGTGTTTATAACATACACATAACATTTACTGGATGTTATTTTATACTAAAACTCAGTATACTATTAATTCATTGATTTATTGACATATTGCTTGTCTTAAATGACCATAGCATTTTTTTCTAAATTAATAATTTTAATTTATTATTATTATTTGCAAATTCTAAGAGATACCCATACTTTTGAGAAGAAATCTAATAAAACCAAAGGATCTTACTATAAAGGTACAGGAGGACTGCAAATTTTCACCTGACTACTCGCCGTAACACATTTGTGTGATATTCATACTATTTTTATTGAAGATATCAGAAACTCAAAGCAGACTACAGAAGCAATTCGGGAAGTTAACATTGATGTTCTAATAATATGAACACACATAACATTGACCAGTTGGTCTTTGAGGTTAAAAAAAGTCATGCATTCAAAGTACTTTTAACATATAAAGATAATTAAAAATTGATCACACCATTCTGCAACATCATGACTTTAAGTCATGCATTCAAAGTACTTTTAACATATAAAGATAATTAAAAATTGATCACACCATTCTGCAACATCATGACTTAACTGTCATGATGCATATTAAAATGCAGCAGCTTATAGTGTAGCTTAACTATTGCCATAATTCCAAATAAGATGAGTTTGGTTATTTTAATTAATTACTTGCCATTAAATTAGCTTAATATATCATCCATATCTATCTACTTACATTTACGTCTTATTTAATTTTGATTATTTATTACATATTTTTGTTCATTCTCCCTTACAGCTCCCATAAGGCTTTGGCTTCTAATAAATGAAACCCTGGCTATTGTACTAAGTAACTTTAAATGACAATGAAATCATATTCAATGTATAAATAAATTTCTGTTGTTAAAACATACTTTTCTTTTTTCAAGAACTTAAGTATTTACAGCGACATAAATTTAAAAAAAAAAAGAAAAGAAAATAACTTAATATTTAATAATTCATAAAGAAGTCAGCAATAATATGTGATATTGTAATTTTTGTAGAAGATGAAACTAATTTTAGTTTCATGTTTTACAAAATTTTTGAGTTATATTTATATATATAAATTTTGAGTTATGGTCGAGAAAAACTGCTGCGCCAATGATTGTAGGGAAAATCACAACTAGTTTGATCATTAAAACATTTTCATTTTGAACAGAAAAATTCTTCAGAAATATTTTTGCTTAAATTGGTACCACACTAGGGATGCTAAATGAGCCGCACAATTTCTGTAGACATAGTTTACATTCTAGATGATAAAGAGAGAAAGTGATGTGAGAAGTTGTTTATTCAAGTAGTAGCAGGCAATAACATGGTGATACGTACTAACTGTAGTCGTATTTATAAGCCAGAAAGTTTTTGTTTTAATTCTGAACAGCGACTCAGCTAAAGATTTCACAGTGGAGAAATTGCAGAGAGAGAGTGATGTAACATGCTGCAGAGTGATGCAAAAATGGTTCAAAACGTATCCTTGAAGCAAGGATGTGTTTAATTAAATTATGAATTTAAACGTCTATTGTCAATTGGTTTCATTAAGTTTAATAATTTTGTTCCATATATATATATAATATCTTCTAGGATTAAAAAAAATTCTAAAAATTAAGCAATGCTTTGCTGAATAGTCTACATATGATAAATTTACAGCCTGACATTTACATGCAAATCAAAATTTTCTCCAAGATAAACTCAGGAAAATGCTGTAAGAATACACACACGAATTTTTAAACAAAAAATATAACTTTTATTTTTTAAAGTTTTTTAAAAATATTTTATATTTTAATTGGTATAATGGAATCAAAGCTGAATTTCATAAAATAGTAAACGTTGTATATATTAGCACAATACAATTTTATTTCACATCTCAGAGAAAGCAAAAATACGGCCTTGAATACATATGCACTAGTAATGCAATACTGAATAATTATGATAAACATGTTTGAAAAATAACAAATTTAACAGAAATTTTAAAACCTTTTCATGATATGAATATTTGATAATACAGCTACTGAAAATCTTTGTCCTTTTATAGAACAAGCTCTTATTAAGGTATTGAAGGAGTTCAAATATATTCTCAAGAGAAACATAAATACTAATCATATAGTCATTTTTTTTATTAATCATGTACTTTACCACATTTTAATGCAGATTTCTCTTGGCAGCAAGTATGTAATGTTTATTACATTAAATAGCATTTTTAGAGATTTTTGAAAATAACACTTCTGTAGTATCCAAAAGAAAATTTTTAGCCTAATAGTCATTTTTAATAAAATTAATATTTTTTGCTAAAAGAATTCACTATCTTTATAACAGCATTAAAAAAAAGGGGGCTCATAAAAATGGTTTCCATTATAAATAAATGTTAAAAGTACAGGCAATATAAATAAAGAAATTCTGTGTGAAATATTTTATAGGATCTGTACTTACCATGATAATGGGAGCACCTCCTTTAACTTCTTCCCATCCTTCATCGTCATCATCTCTCTTCCTCTCACGTCTTTCTTTATCCCTCTTTTTTTCTCTTTTGGTGATTTCTTTCTGTTCATCTTTTTCACCAGGTCTAAAAGAATTATTCATAAATTTCAAAATAAAAAATAATGAAATTAAAATATATTGAAATGGAATTTTTTTAATCATAACATTGGAAAATGATAAATGTCAGCCAATAGATTAGCCACAATATATATATTGTTACGAAATGTACAGGGGCGGGGAGATAGGTTTCCCACAATACAGTTTTAGGGCTTCCACATTTGGCAAGAAATTGCCCATTTGGCGATATTTCATGGACGGATGGAGAACCTTCTGCAGGGGTGTTTGTGGGACCCCAAAAAACCCCGAAACTTTTACGGACTTACTACCGACATTTTGGAGTTTCGAGATGGGGGGGGGGAGAGAAATGAAAAATTACAATTATGAAGTATTGAATGACCTAATTATAAAAGTTCAATGAATTACTTTTTTTGCAAAATTAATAACCATAAATTTTCAAACATATAAACTACTACATTTTATGTAAAAATTTTAAATTACCTGAATTAATTCTTTTAAAAAAAATTATCTAATTTCTGCTGCTTTTTTTTTATTTTCTGATGTTTGTGGGCTTGTCTTTTTTTTTTTTTTTTTTGGTGAACTTCATAATTGCAGGAAGGTTGACTTTTATTTTCCTCATTTACAGTTGAAGAAATTTCTTCGAGAACTGCACATGCAGAGGTAGAAGCAGTTTGCTTTTCTGCTAATGTAGAAGGTTTTTCAGAGACTTTTATAGGTGACTCATCTGAAATACATGTTTTTAAGTCCACTTGATATGTTTTTTTTAACTTCTGTTCATATTCAGTAAGAGATCTTTGTGAATTGGATCAGTCATTGGATTTTTTGAGCCATATTTTTCACATGAGGTTTCTTTAGAAGCCATTAAATCATATTTAATAGTCTGCACTGCATCTAGGGAATCAATCTTAAGAGAGGTTCTATAGTCAGTGACAAGTGTATCCATTAAGTTGAATGCACTTTCCACTAATGGGCCATGGAAGCAGCTAAGGCAGGCTTTGACCAATTTAGCCAATGTAGGATACTTATAATCATTTGTGAAATCCTCTTTTAAATTAAAAACTTTAGACCAATATTTATCAATTGTACACTTGACTTGATTTTCCACTTTCATCAGATGTGTGTAGAGCATTTCTTTCTTTGGTGATATCAATATCACTCTGGTATAACCTTATTTCAGCTTCTACTTTTGACTTTTCATTATCACTAAAAATATGGGACATAAAAGATGATAATTTTCAAAAGCTAATATTGTACTGGTTTTACCTCTTAGCTCTGGATCTAATGCTGTAAAACTAATTAGATATGAATTTTTAAGGGGTAATTTCTGTTTCATATGCTGTGCTGTATTAGTAAAAGCTTTCATCAGAGAAATTTGGAATTCTTTTACTTTTGGATGATTTTTTGATAATTTCTTCAGGAGAGTAGAAGCTTCTGCACCAGTAAATATTACTTTCCTAGGTAGATGGAATTCTGGATTTGTGACATCAACCTTTAATAAATCATTATAAGATGTGCACTCTATATTTTCTGGCTTCATAAAAAAAAAGAGAAAAATTTTGCCATCAATTTATAAATACTGGAATGTATTAAATGAAGCACTGGTTTTTTTGTTTCAAATAATTTAATATATGTGTTGAACTCTGGTAATACTGCTGAATATAATGCCATATGCAATAAAGTTTTGTTTTGCATAACAAATAACCCATTTAGTATTCTTTTTTTCCGAGCTAAAGCATCCTTTGTGAGTTGTTGGGAATACAAGCAAGAATACACCCCTTCAACAATTTTTTTTCTCAGCTGCAGAAATATTTCTTTTATTGTATACAGTTTCAACATAAGAAAAATAATTCCCTTTATCAGTATTATCCAAGTAGTGAAAATAAAATACAATAAGAGCATCCCACAGATCTTTGATTCTTTCTAAAACACATAAAATGTACACCCACCTATGGTCTATTTTTAATAGCAAGGGATTCACAGATTTCGAAAAAATTTTTCTTTTACTGCAGCTTTTCATATTAAAATAGATGTCATCAAACAAATCTTCTAAGTATCTATCAAAACATGAAGCAAATTTTTTTGCACAGTTATTAGCTGTGTGACATGTGTCACCATCAATATCTAATAAGTGGGGTGCTTTGTTTGATCGTAGTCTGGTTTCAACACCCTTTTTTTTTCCGCGCATGGTGTTACATGAGTTCATTAATACACTAATTAAGTTTGCCCATGGAATATTATCTTCAATAGTATTAACAACTGCTTTAAAAACAGCTTCTGAATTGCAAGATTCCATCTTTAGAGATGCAAAATGATGAACTACAACTTCATTTTGATTGTTGTCATAAAACTGCACCAATATTGCCAGTATACTTTCTTGAGCATTGCTAGTACTTTCATCCAAATTTAGAGAAAATGGAGTCGCCTTTAAAGTTTTAATGATATTTTCCTTAATAGTTTTTGCGAGCCCATATTTCATCTTATTAACATGCAGTAGTCCTGGACATTTCCAACGAGTTTAGTACCGTCTGATCGCGACTCAACTGTTTGCAGAGTTCAATTAAATTGTGAGCTACATTGAAAGAAAGAGAATTCTCGGCGATAAACGAAGTTATTAATACCTCTTGGCGTGCTTTTCTAGTCACTATATCCAATGGCCGAGCATCAGTCTCCAGTAAGTCATCAGTATTTTTTGAATTAGCATAATTACTTAAAGTCATTGAATCTCTAATGCATTTTGAATATTTTATGTGCGTCACAGTTTTAGAATGATTTGTGAAAGCCTTGAATCCTTCCCCACCATACTACAGCAGTGAGTTACAAAAAACACAATGTGCTTGTCCAGCAACATTTATTTTCTTGCACCATGTGCCGATGGTATCCCCATTACCATCTCTCCGTTCAATCCAATTCCACCTAAATGCATTCCGGACACCTTCTTCTAATTGTATAATATCACTATTTACATTGAGAATTCTCTTGTGTACATAAATAAAAAAATATTTCAATAAACAAAACGAAAAATTTACACGTGCATCAATAAATGAAACGAAAATTTTACACAGTGGAGAAAAAAAAGTTGAGAAGCGATCAATGACAAACAGAATGCAGAAGAGAATGTCCGAGAACCGGGGGAATTAATCATAACTCGCAATAAGGAAAGAACAAAAAAGATGTTTTTCCCCCTTTTCACGCATTATCTCAAGAGAAACATAATTTTAGATAATTAATATATAAACAATATAAACATAATTAAAAACTTGAGAATATAACACGCCTTTGGAGAAAGAAAGGAAAAGTTTTCACCACACACACTGACCTTGCGTTTTCTGCTTTCAAAGCAAACAAAATTACCCAGATCAAAATAAATAATTCATTATTATTCCTACTTCCTTTTGAACGACGATCCCCAGAACTTCCGGGTATCGAAGTTCAAAATCCCCGGAATTCCGGGGTTTCGCCGGAGCACTAACACCCCTGCTTCTGGAACAAATTCTTACCGGTTAAACCCAGAATGTTCTCGAACACAAGCCGAAAGCTATATAAACCCTGCTGGTCCGCAGCCAGTCAGTGTGTGTGCCTGTCTAGGCGAGCTGATAGTCAGTCATTGAGTCAGTCTCGAAGTCTAACGTCAAGTGCATCGAGAGAGTCTTTTAGTGCATCGTCGAGTGCATCTCGTGGAGAGTCTCGAGAGTACGTGGAGTTCCGATAACGACCAAGCAGAGTCGGGAGCTGTACTCTGGTGTTTTGCAGTGAAGCTGTCTCCACCATTATTGCCTAACAGTGTGAAGGCTGTGTCCCTGAACATGTCAGCGTGTTTATAGCAGTTCAACGACTGTAAAAGTGATTTTGGAGCTGTTCTGGGAATATTGGTAAATAAAGTGTGTTTCGATACTTCATCAAGTGTCATCGTTATTCACTCTAAATCTACCAACCCCATACGAACGCGAAGGAAGAAAATAACGTAACAACTGGTGTCAGAAGTGGGATTTGAGGATGAATGCCAGTGACGAGTGATGGAAAAACAATTAAGACAGCTTATGACTGCCTTTGCTGCATTCCAAGAAAAGATAGAAGCCGGACAGGAGGAGATAAAGGCTGAGATCAAGAGCGAAATAAAAGCCAATCAAGAAAAGATGGAAAAGAAATTTGAACAGATGGAAGTCGAAAAAGAAAAGATTAAAAGCGAGATTGTGGAGCTTAGAGAGGATACTGGAGCAAAAATAGCAGCTGTGGAAGAACGATTTGAAGAAAAATTGAGAAAATTCCGTAAAGAAGTAGATGCTTCGAAAGAAAACCGGACTGAGCCCAAGAATGAAGCTGACGATTACAAGGTTCCCCCAGTGTACTCTCATAAGGTAATCAAACCAAGCACATACGATGGAAAATCATCATGGAGTTTTCCATCGTGGTGGAAAATAACAAGTGGGATTCCCACATGAAGGCTTCGCAGTTGGCTGCGTCACTCCGAGGAGATGCTGCAGACATCTTAGGGGTCCTTTCCAAAGATCAGATTTCCAACTTCAATACCCTGTCGAATGCGCTGGAAATGAGATTCGGGGAAAAGTGCGCAAAGGACTGTAGCCGTCTGCAGTTGAAATCCCGCCAGCAGAAAATCATGGAAAGCCTTCAAGAACTTGAATCTGACATCGAGAGGTTGGCGCATCAAGCATATGTGTACTGTCCACCTGATGTCCGAGAAAATCTGGCCTTGATGTATTTCGTCAATGCCGTTAAAGATGCGGAAATTCACAAAGTTCTCAGATTGGCGGATCTGAAAGACCTGAAAACTGCCTTAAGGCACGTCCACACGAGGACGCTCCCGACGTAGTTGACGTAACTTTTTTGATGCCGGCGTAAATTCGCAGGACGCACAAGACGTAAAACTGAGTACGCTCCTGTTCAGCTTTTTCGCCCGCGACGCGGCGTATAGCCAATAATCAACCGAGTTCTTATCACGTGTCATAATCAGAAAACCTTCTTGCTTACCCGTTTCAATATGCCATCAGA